TTTTTCCATGATTTTTCTGGTTCTTAATTTCTCTACGGCTAGCAAATCATAATTATCTCTTAATTTCTTAACTGCTTTGAAAACAAAATCTTTTCTCTGACTGCTAACTTTCTCATGTTTTTTACTTAGTTCTAATTTTGCTTTTTCTCTCCGCTGACTTCCTTTTTCTTTATTACTGACTTTTCTTTGTAATTCTCCTAATTCTTTTTCAGCCGTTCGATAGAATTGAGGATTGGTTTGTTTTTCTCTATTAGAAAGAGCAAAAAAGTTATCTTTACCTATTCCAACATCAATTCCTATTTGTCTTTCTTTTGGTATTGAACTAACTTCTATTTTTGGTTGGGCTTCAATTTCACAAGAGAAAACAGCGTAATATTTTTGGTTTTTAACCAACAAGGAGCAAGTTTTTATTTCTCCTATTGGTTCTCGGTGCTTTCTGATATTCATTCAGCCTAGTTTGGATAATCATAATTGACTGCGTTTTAACTGAAAGGCTGGGTTTTGAGTATAAGAAAAACTTTCATATTTCTCTAATCATTTTCTCCTAGGTAAACCAACCTTCTCTTTTTTAACTTTGGCATAGAACTTTTTCCAACTATAATCTAATCTCCGAACGACATCTTGGAGAGTTTGGGAGTGAACCAGTTTTAGGTCGGGGTAAGTTTCTTTTAACCCAAGTTAGCAAGAAGTCCCCCATCCTCTTTTAGGTGGTGGGATGAATTGCTAAAATATAACATATACTTAAAAGTATAAACAAAGGATGAAATAACTCCATGAAATAAATGGAGATAAAGTTCTCACGAACACTTGCTAGTTGGCAAGAATGGCTCGGTTTGAGCCTTCGGGGAGACTAGGTGATAGCCTTGTCTAGGAACCGAGAAGCCCCCACTTCTATAAGTGGTGGGTAGTTCACTTGAGGTAAAATATTCTGTTGTTGAGAATAAGTGATAATGGTCTTATTCTCTTTTCAAGCCTTAACTCTTTCTTTTCCTAGGTAGTTATACAACCAAAGGCAAATTTCCCTAATTTGGTTGATTTGCTGTTGTTTTTCTTGACTAGAATAAAGCCGAAGTTTGATAGCCTTGGTGATTAGCATGCTAAAAGTATCTTATATACTCTATTTTATACCAATTCATCCCCCAGTTATAGAACAAGGGGACTTCTTGCTAGGTTAGGTTAAATACAAAATAAAAGACGTAAACGACAATTTGCTAAAATAAATTATTATGGATATCATTAGATTTGAACTGAAAGGTAAACAATATCTCTATCTGCCAAAAAAGAAAGAGCAAATTTTTCGCATCGATTACCAGAAAAATGCTAAAAGTGGTGGCAAAATAATTTTTGATAAAATTTTGCAAAAAGATGATGAATTCGGTCAACCCTACTTGCCCATTAAATTGGTTGGGGAAGTAATCAAGCACGGGCAAAATAAAAAAATAGTGGGCATGAAATACAAGCCAAAAAAAAGGAATGAAAGAAAATGAGGATTTCGGGCTCAATATACCGAAGTGAAAATATTAGGGGTGGAAAAATAGATATGATATTTTGTCTGACAAGGTCAAAAATAAACAGGGATAATTTGTCGTAGGTCAAACATGAAGTGTTACTGCAAGGTAAAAAAAAGTGTTGTCGGAGACCAAATGGGAAGTATTGCTGGAGGACAAAGTAATTAATGCTTAAAGTTCCCGTGTGGAGTAGTTCACTACTCTCTTCCGAATAAGAACAAACAAAAGCAATTTTTTACTCGGGGGAGGTTTTTTAGGTTTGGGTTATTTTTGTATTTTTTGTTCCCTTTTCCCTTGCTGTTTCCTCCCCCAACTTATAAGCAAATTATCAAAAATAATGGAGTGGAGAAATTATGTTAGTGAAAAATTAGCCGGCAAGTTTTTTATTCGCTATGCTATTCTTTGCCTTTTGATAACTTTTTGGGTATTTCAACAAGAAGGGAAAAAAATTTGGTATTCACTTCGACAAGAAAAAAAGAAAATATTTTGACAAACCATTAAATTACTTTTCTTTTTTACTCTTATCCATTTTGCTCTCAAATTAGTTTTGGGATGAGTAGCACCTCCTTCTTGGCCTAACCTTAAATCGGAAAAAATTAACACTCACATAAGCGTCATAACTAGTAGCAAAAATAATTGAGGGTATTTGGCTCAAATTTTTTTTGGCATGTGCGTGCTGGCTCCTATTGTTGAAGAGTGTATTTTTCGTTATTTCATTTTTCGCATTTTTGGTCGCAAAAATCCTTTTTCTTATTTTCTTTCTTTTTTGACCTTTATTTGGGCTCATTATCACCGAGGAGAAAATATTTTTCTGCTTTTCTTTCAATATTCGGTGGCTGCTTGAGGTTTTATTTATATCTACAAAAAAAGTGGATGGAAATTGTTGTCTCCCATGCTGCTTCATTCTCTCGTTAATTTATTGCTTATTGTTATAGTGCTTATTAATCCTGCTTTCTCTTTTATTTAACTTTGTTGTTATTACCCGCAGTTTATTCGATAGGTTACATTATGATATTTATATATAAAAACTTATTATAT